GAGTAGCTTAGTGCTAATTTATTGTAACTAGTTATATTGCTAGCTTACTAGTTGTGTTAGTAGTAGCGACCTAGCGTAATTGCTTGTGTGATATATACATAGAGATCATAGCAACTAGCATTCAGTAGGTGGCTTGCATAGCACTTTTTAGAGCTAGAGCAAAACCGTTTTTACGCCATCTTATTGTCTAATACTTTGCTCTAGTGATTTGTAGAATTTTAATTAGGCTATTCACCCCTCTAGCCATTTAGGACCTTTTAGTTGGCCATGCCGTCATTGCACGAGCTCTCTAGGACATCGAGCATCTACTGCCATGAGAGCTCCAGCGGAGCGAGGCACAGGGCGGAGGAGGCGCAGGGTGCCAGATAGAGAGGGCGCGGGGTGCCATGCGAAGGGGGCATGGGGAACTCGCCGATGTACGGGTGGGATGCAGGGCGAAAAGAGGCGCACAGGACGGAAGAGATATGGAGATGAGGAAGAAAATGAAAAAAAAAACTGACAAATGAGCTCCACCTGTCAGTAGTTGATCCTACTTTTGATGTCCCCACACCAAACAGAAAACGAGTTGTTCCAAATTCTGATCCCTCTTCAACCAAACAGAAAATGGGTTCATCCCATCCCACAAACCAGAGACTAGACCATGCCATTCCACTTTGTCTTCCAACCAAACGTTACTTTAGACACTCGACATCGGTGCCCGCTGAGTTGCCAATTGCATAAGGTGTGGAACTACCCTCTCCATGTTTCGCCCAAATCAAGTAATCCTTCGTAAAACCTCGGTGAACCAAATGAGAAATGATTTGTTCTGGGTCATCAAATACAACAATATTTTTGCAGTCTATGCACGAACAATATATGTCCTTTGTCTTCTCTCTATATGCATGCCTCCTAGCGGCATCAATAAAGCTACGAACCTCCAACCAGTACGATGGATTTAATCTTGATAAGTTGTAACAACCTTTCCATCTTGAGTTGACAAAAATTATAATGATAATGTGTAATTAAATATGCATGTTTAAAATTATTGTAATTATTTGATTAAATTTAAAAACCAATATCTTACTTAGAGAGTGTAAACCTAGCAATAAATGTTAAACCGGAATGAATTATTGGGTGGAATAAATATAATAAATGTCAAACTAGAGAGAAATATGGAGTAGGGCATTTCAATGTGTGTAACCCAGTTTGATACTGATACTAGTCCATTACGCGCGCCCTCGCATGCGTCGGCGCATCACTTGGCTAAGGTACTGGTAAAAAATATATGTTTAATCTTTGCATAAGGCACCGGTGAAAAATATATGTTCAATTTTTGCATGTAAATAATATTAGGAGAAGGAGTTTAATATAGATATGTCATGCACAGAAATCGAAAGATTTAAGTTCTTTTTATATGGTGTAGGACATATCTACTTTGCATACTTTTCATATGATGGCATTTCCTGTGTGTGGTAAAGGAAGCAATAGACAGCATGGGGCTACTCGAAAAATAGATGTAGATTGTAGCTGATAAGCAGACTATGATGAAATATGCTAGCTCAATCTATAACACAAATAACTGTGCTGATACTTTTTAATCGTATACTTTAATTCTACTAATCTGAGGGCATAAGCAATGAGAGCCTAAAATAGAAATCAGCAGGTAGTCATGATCACGGCATGAGCAATGAGAGAAAAAAAAAGAGAAACCAACAGCTAGTCAGCTTTCATCACCTGGAATGTAGCTTGCAAAAAGAGCATCAGATATTCACATATGACTTTCAAACTGGTTGTCCGTGAACATCTTGTATGGTCTTGTCATACTGCAACAAAAAAAATTCAGGGTATATTCAAATAAGTCTGCAAATGGAATGGTTCAAAAGAAAGGGTACTTGCATTTGTCGGAGTCACTATATAGGCACAATAAGAAAAACAGGGAACCCAAGCTGCTGGATGCACCTCGAAATTCCATTCTGTTAAACCTGTGCTCTTTTTTTCTGTTGAGATTTTAGATATAAACTTGAAATCATTTCTATGTCAAAAAAAAAGGAACCTAGAGGCTGTCTGACAAGCTGTGCAAATCACAATTACCAGAGGGAATGAAGTTGGGCTTGATGAACTTTAGAGGATAACCGGCAAGCGGCTTCAGGACTTCACTGACAGCCATGGCGGTCGTCTCCTCCAACCCCAGGATTAGAAGATCAGATAACATCCTTGGAATCATCTTGGAATAATATGTCAGTAATTACCATACGGGAAATATAGAACACAAGCAATGATACATAAATTGGAAATAACAGCAGATAAATATTGCATGCATTTATATTGGTTTAGCATCCATGCAACTGGGATTTTTCCAGGCTCAAAACTACGGACCTATGAGGCATATGAAGCCATTAGCCATTATGTTCAAACACAAAACAAACAAGGACTTGGAAAAATGAGAAAAATCAATACGGGCAAGATTTTAATTGAGTTTTAAAATATTCGAATTTGTGTAGAGACAGTGGTATGTCCTTAAAACTCTGGTGTTACTTTACGTAGGCTTTCTATGCAAGTATATATGCATTTTTAAGAAAGTATATTAGCCATTTTTTCAAAGTTCCTGCCAAAAAAATCATACATGGTGCTAACCTGCTATGCACTACCAATACATATTAGCTATTTGTAGCAGAGGATCTCTAGCAGTATTAGAGGATGGTTAAACACAAACCTCAAGGGGCTAGAGAGATCGCCACAACTCACATGGATGCTGAGTGCTAACCTGATGTGCACGGATTCATTGAGGTGAGGAAGAAGAGAAAATACAAATCGATCGGCACAAGCACACGGATTCATTGAGGTTAGGAAGAAGAGAAAATACAAATCGATCGGCACAAGCAGACCGCGTTCCAGCCATCAAACCTCAATACATTGCAAAGAATAACAAGATTGATGTACCCTTACATCTGCAGGCCTGTAAACAGAGGAAACAGAGCTGTCCCTTGAAGCAGCCAATGGATCTCTGGAATGGAACTAACTAATCAATAAGATAAATCCCAGAAAAATGCAGAGTCAGCTGAGACATAGAAAAGCAAGAGAAAAGTTCAACTCTAAACTAAATGGCCATAGGTACAGCCTCTATCATTATGTGTACCCAACCCCTATCATATTGGATCTCCCAATTGGAATGTAATGTTAGTTGGTAGGTAGCAAACAGATATAACCGTGAAGGGCAAAGTTCTGATAGGCTATACTTGCAGCAGTTGCACAAAGCGGGAAGATTAGACAAATGTATGGATCGATATCTGTATGTACCATGTAACGCGATTGAAATGCTTTGGTTTCATGTTGCGGTCATGTTGTCCCTGAGGTAAGATAAGGTTTATATTGGTACGAACACTAATCGTATATATGTAATAATTTTCTGGTATTTTGTTTCGATCGCGTTAACATGTAGAGGCGGCATTACTGTTGAAAACATATTTAAATTACACATTTCATCTATTACACTATGTTCTACATGATCTGGCCAAAAATAACAAGAAGTTGTACCTTGATCTAAAGACCCAGAAAATTGTTTTGGAATACAAACCGCAAGAAGCCAATCTTATGGAAAAAGGGCATCAAAAGGCACCCGCACACTTCTATCACCGGTACTTTGTCGGCAAACACCTTGAATATGGCACTTGGTCTTCCTCTAAGGCAAGAGTGCACCGTGTGGTCCATACATGTGAAGCATCAGCAGTGTCCACCAGCAGGTAGCGAGAAAGACAGGGAAATGAAAGATGGGGTTCAGGCTCACCGAGGACGATGCTAGTTGGTAGGTAAGACGGAATTATGGAACATGGAAAAACGCTGTAGTCTGATGCTATCTAATTAGCAGGGGGTGTGCACGCTTAACCTAGGAGAGACGGTGAAGCGAATGCAGTCCAGAGTGCGACGTCGTCCACGAGCAGCGTTACCTATAGGGGAGACACCAAAAGTTACAGCCATCAGGATCAGGCATGGTGGTGCAGTAGCGACTTGGGATCTGGATCGTGGTACCTGAGGACGATGTGGGAGGCAGTTTGTGCGACGGCGTTTGGAGGGACAGGGGGAGAGAGGCGGCCGACGTACTGTGCAGGGCCCGTCGCGGCCGGAAGCACCAAATCCAGTCTTGAAGCGGCCGAGCCGCCGCCTCGAGACAACCGCAGAACTGGGCTTGCCGAGCCACCACTGGGGGGGGGAGCTGTGGCGGTGGCATGGTGGTATGGCCGGGCGTGGCGCGGGCAGCGTCTTGGCCGTGGCCAAAAGGCGGTCTGGCGGCGGGTTCGGCCGTCTTGCCGGTGGCCGCCGCCGCGGAGGGGAGCCCGTGGGGACGGACGACGCAGCGCCATGGCATGGAAGGCGTGGGGGACGGCGGGCGGCGGGAGGCGAAACCCTAGGCTCCCCCGTTCACTTCGGGAGGTCACGTCGAGAGGGCGAGGGAGCGAAGAGGAGAGAAAGAGAGGAGAGGGGCAGAGAAGGTTCACGAAGAAGAAGCCGGAGCTGGAGTTTATATTTGTTCGGACCGGAAGCAAAAGAAGCTAGAAAAAGCAGAGCTGCAAGGAGCAGGTTCTAATGGAAGCCGCTACCAGCAATCTGGGCCACACGATGGGAGATCGGACGGGCGCAGCTATTGAGGCGACGTGGACACGCTGAGCGACGGCCGAGGCAAGCCGGGTTAATGATAGTAAATTCTAGCAAATTCTTTTGCAGATTGGGGCGAAATCCAGTTTGATAACGACAAAATTTCAATTATCTCTGTCCACGGGGAATGAGTTGCAGGCATCCATGGGCAGCCGCTCCTCTCTTTGGCCAACTCGACATCCTCCGCCGCCGCCCGCGCCCCGCCCCCCGCTCCCCGCCCCCCGGAACCTCGCATCTACGTCCTCCTCTGCACACTCTCCGCCGCTCCTCGACGCGCGCGTGAGCAACACCGCTGTGGCATCCGCGTCCACGAGCGGCGCCTTCTGTCTTCTCCCGTGACTTGCCGCCACCGTGTTTGCCACTCGCCGGAGATGGCGCTGTTGGCCCAGCAGCTACCTTCCTTCTCCTTCGCCTGCCCCACTCTCCGCACCCTCCACCTTGGCTGCCCCCTCAAATCCTCCCCGTCCTTCAAATGCTTCCTCCATTCCCATTCCCAATTCCAAACCTCGTGGCCTCGAAGTCGCCCAGCTGCTTACCCTCCGCATCGTTTCATCGAGGAACAAGGAAGCGAAGACAACGACTATGGGGATGAGGCGGTGGGGTTCTGGAGCGGACCTGCCACATATGCCACCCGGGAGGATACGGATGACGAGGGAGGCTGGTTGGGCCCGACCCGTGGCGGCACCTCGGAGGATGAAGACGAGGGAGGTGGTGAGGAGGTGGGCCAGTGGGACCCGCCTGTGAGCCCCTTTCGAGCGCAGCGCGAGGAACCACACCAAGAAGAAGAGGAGGACGAGGATGAAGAATGCGAGTGGTTGGACCCGACCTCCTTCTTGCGAAGCCAAGAAGGGGTAAGCGGTGTTTGCAGCACCACGGCAGCCATGGAAGAAATCCTAGCCTTTGCAAGGTGCCCGGCTGCGGCGGGGGAACAAGGATTCGCCGAGTTCATGGCCGGATACAACCACGGGAAACTCAGCGAGGAGGAGTGCGTGGAATTGATGTGGAGGATGTCTGAAGAGGGGCTGGCGTTGGGCTGTGCACGCCTGTTCCAGTGGCTGCGGGAGAAGCAGCCGGTGCCTGTATCGCCAATGGCGTGGTTGACGGCTTTTGTTTCGCTTGGACGGTGCGACATGGCTGATGTGGTCTTGGAGATTGTGGCAAGGTTACCTTTGGAGAGGGATTTCCGCGAGGCAGTTCTTTATAATGCCGCGATATCTGCCGTTGCCTACTGCAGGAGGTGAGCATTGTCTTGTTTGGGGTCAGGGACTGATAGTGCAAACTTTAGTGGGCTTCTCATCGTGAATACCACTGCATGGTGGAAAATTGGGAGTTTAAGTTTCTTGGCACATGTTCTGTAGATTAGATAATCTGTAGATTAGATAATCACTTGGTTGAAGATTTGTGGGCCTATTTCGGAACCATGTGATGGCTAACTAGTACTATGAAATGTGGGAGAAGGAAATTTTGATTAGGTATTAAATAGGACTATCTCTATACTCTACAGATGTCTTATGTCCTTTTAATTAGTTCATATTATCAGACTGAGTGTATGAGATTCTAATTAGACAACTGTGGTCAACTTTCTGTAATGTTTTGGGAGTTCAGGACGAATTTGTGTATTAAGTTGAAAGTTTGAAAGGAAGAGAAGTTTACATGTGAAAAATTTGGGCAGAAATATTTTTCATGCCAGAGCTTGATAGATAAAGCTCCATTCCCTCTCTATGATATAAAGATGCTCGGCTCTCCTGCCTCTTTGAGAAAAAAGAATAGGTTAAGCTCAGATTATCAAGGTTTGATCTGAGAAAGCATCACAAGACAAAAGAAGATTAGTACAACAACTAAGAGGCGTATGCTTAATTTGAAGTTAAGAACTGGACCTTGACAATTCTTTACTATCGTGTATAAGAGGAAAGAATGTCGATGCTATAACATCCTAATGTCCTTTTGCCCTCACTATGTACATGACCCAAAACTGCCTTCCACTTGCTTGTCAAGTCCACTAAGGAAGAGCAATATTTTAGGTGTTTTTGGGCTGTTTTTATAGTAAGAATCTAGACTATTTCTAGAACTTTGTGTTAGTAACTGCTGGTAAATTTGTGTCCATTGCTTGTCTTTGAAAAACATGATAATGAAGTTCAGATGGGTGTTGTTAACTAATTATCAGATTATGTTAATTCAATGTATCACTATTTCCATTTGTTTAGAATATTAATAATGTATATGGAGTTATATATCACTGGAGATAGCAAACTGTTAGCAGAAACATAGTTTAGTGACTAGTTTATAATGATGCAAGGGCTCCTCAGATGAAGTAGGGACATTTGTAACTAATGATGAATAGGAGTGGTAGAAAATGTGGCACATTTATTCTTTGTATTTGTGATTTAGTATTCATTATTTTTTCTCGAAAACATTTAATATTCATTATGATGAACCTGTTTCTACCTTTCTTCAGATATGATGGTGCTTGGGAAATTTTTGAGCTAATGGAAAAGAACAATGTTCAACCTGATCACAGGACATCCGCAATCATGCTTAATATTATGAAGAAGAGTAAGGCATCTGCCAAGGATGCATGGGAATTTTTCCAACGGATGAACAGAAAAGGAGTCAACTGGAGCTTTGATGTTGGTGCGGCTTTGATAAATATCTTTTGTTTTGATGGGCTAAAAAAGGAAGCTCTAATCATCCAGTCAGAAATGGAGAAGAGAGGTATTGCATCAAACACAAGCATATATGAAACTCTGATAAAGGCATACTGCAAATCCAACCAAATTGAAGCAGCTGAGGGGCTCTTTGTTGAGATGAAAGAAAAAGGTTTGCAAGCAACAACCACAACTTATAATATCCTTATGGATGCTTACTGTAGAAGATTGCAGACAGAAGTTGTTGAATCCTTACTTCTCGAGATGCAAGATTTAGGTATAAGACCGAGTGCTGGATCATATAATTGTCTCATAAACGCCTATGGGTGCCAGAAGAAAATGAGTGGAAAGGCTGAAGATGCTTTCTTGAGGATGAAGAGGGATGGTATTAAGCCATTATCTTCTTCATATAATGCACTAATTTCTGCATATGCAGTTAATGGATTGCATGAAAAAGCTCATACCATATATGTGGATATGAAAAGAGAAGGACTTAAACCTACCTTAGAAACATATACAGCTTTACTCGACACTCTTAGGAGAGCAGGTGACACAGAGATGCTAATGGAGACATGGAAAACTATGATTGATGAAAAGGTTGGTGGAACACGAGTCATATTCCATGTGGTACTCGATTGTTTAGCAAAACATGGGCTGTATCTTAAGGCGAGGGATGTTATATATGAGTTTGGAAAGATTGGCTTAAAGCCTACTGTCATGACATATAACATTTTGATGAATGCTTATGGAAGAGGCGGGCAGCATTACAAATTGCCCCAACTCCTGAAAGAGATGGCAGCTTTGGAACTAAAACCAGACTCCATTACATATTGTACAATGATATATGCATATGCCCGTGTTCGTGACTTCTCAAGGGCGTTCTATTACCACAAGCAGATGGTTCGAAGTGGGCAAATACCTGATCCTAGGTCATATAGAAAGTTGTTGAATACTTTGGATGTGAAGGCTGCAAGAAAGAACATAAAGGATAAGAGTGCCATACAAGGGATGATTAAAGGCAAGTCTGGCTTAAAACCTAGGAAGGAAAAGAAAGATGAGTTTTGGAAGAACAGAAAAAAGCGGTCTATGCTGAACCATGGACACCAGAGAAAAGGAATTTTGTGAAGTTTATCTTTTGTGTACATTAGATTGTCTTCAAGATTTACATCCTTTTTCATGGTCCCCTGCATTTTCATTTTCACTCTTGAAATGTTCGAGTTTGAGACTAAAAGGTTATAGACATACATTTTAGTTTTCTGTTCTCAGTAGCCTGAATCTACTTTAATATTTTGCCTTTCAACATGGTCGGCTTTGAAAACTCAGGTAAATGAACTTCATCTGTTTGTTATTCTTTATCTGTATCACTAAAAATCTAGACTTTTGAACATGACGATTGGTTATTTCCTACCATGAAAGTTTTTAGTGATACACTTGGAAAGCAATATCTTTTTTTTTTTGAAAGAAATGGCAGGAGCTCTGTCTTTCAATTAAGATAGGAAAGAGGTGTTTATATACAAGCAGCAAGTGCATGCCCTCTAGTGGCCAAAACCAGTAAGGAACCCCCTCCTCAAAGCAATGTAGCAGCCCCTACATGAATGCTTCATTCTTTGCTCTATATCTTCTTTGATTCTCGCAGCCACCTGCAGCACGGTTTTCATCTTGTCGTTGAATATTCTTCTATATCTTTTTTTCCAGAGATTCCAGAAGGTGTAAATCACTAAACCATTAAATCGTCTTCGCTCCATCTTAGGCACTTTGGCCATGGCCTCCTCCCACCAAGGAATGATGCTCATGGGGTAAGCTTGCTGTTGCCTCAGTATCCCATCAAAGTGCTCCCATGTGAGGATTTGGTTCCAAACCGCCTTAGCGAAGGGGCAGCATAAGCACAGATGAAGGCCGGTTTCAAGGGGCCCGTTGCATAGGGCACAGTGATCCTTGTGTGGCCAGCCCTTTTTTGCAAGTTATCTGTCGTTAGAATTTTTTCGTGAATTAGGATCCATGTGAAGACCTTGCACTTGTTCTCTGCATGTGCTTTCCAAATTTGGTCCCTACGAAACCTAGCAAATGAGCCTTTGAATTGTATCCGGTATGCTGAACGAGTGGAGCAAATGCCATCCGAAGTCCAAATCCAGGTGATAGTGTCCGGAACGCCCTGGATTAGCTGCACATTCTGGATCCAGAGCGAGATAAACTCCTCAATGTGGGTGGCGGAGGCGATATGCCCTCTCAAGGAGCGTATCCAATTGTTGTTCCATAGTTCCTGTTGCACTGATCTATTTTTCCTTCTAGCAAGCTATAAGAGATTAGGGGCCAAATACCTGGGTGCTTGTCCCTCCAACCAGTTATTGTGCCATAATCGAGCTTTTGCGTCGTCCCCTAAATTGATTGTAGTTGAGGAGTTGAATAATAGACAATCTATGCCATTGCAGGGAAGATCCATTCCTACCCAAGGTTTGGAGTCTTCCGTCCAATCTTGCCACAACCAGCGCAATCTGAGGGCACGACCAAACCTGTCGAGATCGGGCACCCCTAATCCCCCAAGGTCTTTAGGCTGGGTCACCGTTGGCCAATTAACCAGGCAATGTCTGCCGTTCGCATTTTCCTCTCCTTTCCATAGAAAGGATCTCCTGATTTTATCAAAAAAAAATCGCCCATGCTGCCAGGGGGAATATTGTGAGGTGATAGGTTGGCATGGCGGAGAGAACTGAGGAGACGAGCATGAGGCGTCTTGCTCTATTTAACCATCTCCCCTTCCAACCAGGCAGTCGCTGTCCTATGCGTTCAATGAGCGGCTGGATGTGGATCTTCTGGAGTGATCTAGTGTGAAGTTGTAGGCCTAGGTATTTGCAAGGGAAGACGCCTCTGGTGCCTGTGAACGGTGATAGCACCATGTCGAGGTCTATCTCCTCACATCTGATCGGGGTGTATTGAGCCTTTCTGTAGATTTATATGAAGTCCTGAAATGTTTCCGAACGCCTCCAGGATTATCTTGATTCCTTCCACATCCTCTTTTATCGGATTTATGAAGATTGCCACGTCGTCTGCATACATGGAGGTCCTCCATTTGGCTGTCGCCATAGGCAAGGGGGACAAGATGGCCTGATGTGTCGCCATGTCGAGTAGGCGTTGTAGAGGGTCCATAGCCAGGATAAAGAGTATGGGTGAGAGGTGGTCGCCCTGCCAGAACCCTCTGGCATGATGGAAGCTGGGACCTTGCTGTCCATTAAGAAGAGCTCGAGAGGAGGCCGTGCGAAAGAGGATCGAGACCCATTCACGCCAGCGTGATCCAAAGCCTAGGGCTTGCATGACCTCCAAAGGATAGCCCCAATTTACAGTATCAAATGCTTTGTGGATGTCGAGCTTCATGAAGATGGTTGGCAGCTTTAGCTTGTGCAGCTTACGTACCACGCCTTGGACATATAGGAAGTTATCGTGGATGCTTCTCTTCTTAATGAATGCACTTTGGCAGTTGGACACCAGGGAGTTCAAATGAGGGGCTAGTCTGTTAGCTAACAGCTTGGAGAAGATCTTTGGTATGCTGTGTATGAGACTGATGGGTCTAAAGTCGGAGACTTTTAAGGCATCCACTTTTTTTGGGAGTAGAATGATGCTTACCGAGTTGAGAAGCTCAAAGCTTTGGTCATTCAAATGGAACAGGCTGTGCATGGCGGCCATAACATCATCCTTTATGATCTCCCAACAGCCTTTGAAGAAAGCGCCTGTGAAGCCATCCGGGCCTGGAGCTTTGTCTGAGGACATGGATTTTATTGTGGTCTCTACCTCTTCCTCGGAGAAGGGCGCCTCCAGCTCCGTCAAGTCGTGCACGGTGTACCCCAAGGATTGCCAATTGAAGGCTGTGGCTCTTGGAGTTGTCGATCCGATGTGGCTTCTAAAATAAACTCCCTTCCACTTTCTGTTTCTCCTCGTGGGCCATCACCATCCCCCTTTCAGTGTGAAGGCAGTGAATGTAGTTTTTTCTGCGTCTTGCATTGGCTCTAATGTGGAAGAATTTTGTGTTGGCGTCCCCGCAATGGATGTACGTGAGTCTTGATCTTTGTTGAATCCTTGATTTTTCAATGGCCGTCAGCCCCACACTACGGGTTTTGAGGCGTCGACGGAGGTCAAGCTCCTGACTAGTGAGCATTCTGGATTCCTGTGCCAATTCTAGCTGCAGAAGTACTTCTTTGACAATGGCAAGCTGAAGTCTGGTATCTCCTATTTTTTCTTTGTGCCACCGCTTAATGGCCTTTGCAACTCGTGCCAATTTGATGTGCAAGCGCTTGAGAGGCAGTGCGGAGTAGACCGGCTTGTTCCAGGCGTCCTGGACAACTTCATGGAAGCCATCGACCTTAGTCTAGAAATTTTCGAAGCGGAATGACGTGTTGCGGTAGTGGTCAACTTCCCCTTGCAGGAGTAGCGGGGTGTGATCCGATATGAGGGACGGCAGCAAATGGAGGAAACTGGCTGGAAAGATGAGCTCCCATTCCGGGGTGCAAAGCAGTTTGTCGATCCTGGTTAGAGTTGGGTTGCTCCATGTGAAGCGACGACCATTTAGCTTGATTTCTTTGAGCCTCAAGTGGTCAATTGCTGCCTTGAATGAACCCATCAAGCGACGGTTAAGATTAGAGTTGTTTTTGTCCTCTGCTTGGTATATGAGATTAAAATCTCCAAGGATGAGCCATCTACTATGGTCCGGAGGTGGGATGCTTCTCAGTTCTCGGAGGAATTGGAGCTTGGCGTCATCTCCTTGCGGCCCGTAAACCACCGTAATTTGCCACTTAATCCCATCCGCCCTCATGGTTATGGTAGCAGTGATGGCATGTGCGGTTAGAACAACATCAGAAAGGTCGAAGAAGTCTTGATTTACAGCGAGCAGGATTCCCCCTCTTGTCTGCGCTGCCGGCAGCACCGCAAAAGAATCAGCAAATTTGGAGCCCACTGTGCGTGTGACAACATTACGGTCGATGGCCTGCAGCTTTGTTTCTTGTAAACAGACAACGGTGGAGCCTGTATTCCTAACCGGCTCATTTACAGTATCTTGCCGCGACCCGTCATTAAGCCCTCTGACGTTCCAGTTAAGCAGGTGACAGTTATGTTGTGCCATAAATATACAGAAGTGATCCCTGGCAATTTCATCGGCAGAGCCTACATGGCTGTGACCAGTGCCGTGCCGTCGAGGCCACACAGGGCCGTAAGGGCCTTCACAGCCGCGTCCGTGAGAGGGCCGTTGAAGAGGTCGACATAGTGCGGTAGCAGGTCATCAGGGGACAACCCTTCTTCCTCGATGATGCCCAGTCTCTTCATGAGGACCTGCCTGGCCTTCGCCTGGGCATTGCCTCTAGGCCACGTCTTGGTCGCGATGCGTACGCTTCTGCGCATAGCTGTCGGAGCTTTCTTGCGACGTTGTGGTGGTGATGCTCGACGTGGAGGAGTCTGCAGCAACGACGGGGGCAGCGTGCGCGACACCGACGCGATAAACGCTGTCGCCGCGCATTGGGTCGCACTCTGCCCGACGCCAATTGATTCCATCGCAGCAGCCGCCGGGGTGGGACTGATTTGCCTTGCTTCCGCTGCTGTGGCCGACGCGCAGGCCTGGCGCCATCGCAAGCCGCCCGGCCCACGGGCCCGGCGCCTGGTGTAGACGACGCCTGGGCGGAAGCGCACCACCCGCGCACGGTCCGCCGCGGGCGAACCTGGGGCTGGCCGTTCTCGGTGCGACGCCGTGACCTGAGCCCTCATAGGTGACGCGGAGAGCTGCGTGTCGTCCGTATGGAGAGGTGTGGAGTCTCTCTGATTGCTGCTGCGCGGTGGAGGTGTTGCCAGCGGCACCGGACGGGCCCCATTGCGTTGGCGACTGCTACGCTCCCGGCTGCGCCCACGTTCCCGGTGTGGGTGTCGTGCACGGCGCCCACCATGCCCAGAGCCGTCGCTGTGACGTTGAGTCGGCCTGTGACTCTGAGGCGGAGGAGAGTGTCGGCGCCTTTCAATCGCAGCGGGGCTGGCCCTGCGACCCTTGTCAGCAGACCCACAACGACGATGCATGTCCGTTGTTGACGACCTGTCTTGTCGCCAGCCATGCCTCGACTCCGAGCGACCCCTTTCCCGCTCCATAGCAGGGGCACGGG